CCCCAAAACCCCAAAACCCCAAAACCCCGCGATCAAACATTAGCTAGAATAATAATATATGATAAATTATGAAGATAAGTCATGAAATTATAGATTTAATTGAAATAAAGAGGGCTTTATTATTTGAATTGTAAAGTTAAAGTATATAAAAATGAAAAATAATCCAAATCAACTGGATATTCAAACTTCAATCCTACCTCCGGCATATTAATCCTCCGAGGAGATAGAAGAAATAATGCTCTAAGAACTTGAAAGTATTTTCGATAAACCCTGCCTTATCCCAGTGATTGCATCTTAAGAGCAGCAAAAATCTCAAAATTCTTCATAAAACTCAAACATGTAGCAATAGTAAACTCAGCCTAGTGTCTCACAACAGCAGTAAACCAATTATCCCACTTCTTTCAAGGTGGGATATGATAAAGATTACACCAATACGTTCCTCATCACAAATCCTTAGGCGATTTTCAAAGTTTTTTCTAAAGACCAGTTTTTGCAGCTGGCAGAAAGCTCATAGTGCATTTTGATCGACAGACTAGATGACATTTTGTAAAAGTGTAGTCACAATTCTCTGGTCTTGACTGATCATATAGTACTTACAAATGTTACCAGGCTCAACTAACTTCACATTGATTAAATGATGAAACTTGCTAGAGAAAACAAGGAAAGTGATAATTAATTGTAATTAGATCCTTAGACATCACAGAGATAGTCTCATTCAAAATAATTCATACCAGAGCATGATATTTTATTGTTATCGGTCCAGCTTTGTTTGAAACTATCAACAACTAATAAAAATAGTTCTAAGAAATTACTAAACCTAATTAGAAAACTTACCTATGGAAAACGTTTTCTTAGATGCCATTTAGAATATGTATACTAATATTTGAAAATTAGATGTTCAAAGCTTAGCAGAAAAAGTAAGACCCAGAGTGCTTTATCAAAATTGGACACTGCTTTAAGAATTCTTACGAATATGTTTGAACAAAGATTTGAAGTTGGGCCAAGTAACTATTTTTATTTTTCAGGATTTCTCTCAGGCATTCAAGTTATATCTAAGACTATCTAAAGTGCTGAGTTTATTAAGGTAAGTTCAATTTATTAATGTAATGTCTAAATTATTCTATTAGGGTTTCACAGCATGCATTTGGTTTTACATACAAGAAAACACACTTTAAGATGATAAAAATTTACCAGTTTTATTCAACTGCTTTTTCTAAGGATAAGGAGGATTTGAATGTTACTTTAATGAAAGAAAATTATTCTATAGAATCCTTGGCAAAAACTACAGTCCACCAAGTAAATCAAATAAAAAATAGATAACCCATTTTAGCTGTTGAGAGTAATGGTATACTGATTGGGGAGTTTCTCCCAAAGAAATGGTACTTTTTAGCAACAGAACATGAGAGACCATCTTTTACAAGACCTCAATTTACAGCAATTATAAATGACAAGCAAGTAGTCAACCTTCCACTCGATTACCCCAAGATTGATAAAAACGCCAAAATATCAATGATATCTATCTGTAAAAACTTCGTAGGTCAGCTATCAACTTTTATGATATTCAAGGAGCCAGTCAACAACTCCAAAAAGTTGATTCAAGTAAAACAATATTTATCATTAATAATCGTGTATTAGATGTATCACAACTATGAATTTGGCATTTTTAATAACAGCTAAATGATTGTTAATCCATATAATAAGAATAGTAGCTCCTCAGGAACTTCATTGAATTCAGACATTTTTGATTAAAAGTTTATTGATAAAATGCTTATCCTCTACAATCCTGACAGGACATCAAGTAAGATTAGAATTTGAGTTCATGAATGTTATAGATAAGACTATCTACGATTGTGTTGAAATGAGGGATGCTGAGCTAATGATTAATTCTGGAGTATGTGTGACTGGTCCTAAGTCTAAACTATTTTACAGTGGAGGATTAGCTTCATTTTTGCCCCTACTAGACATAATGAGAGCAATCTCTATCTATCATAGCCCAAACATGAGCCCACTTAATGATTTAGATTCAACCTTCAACAATTTTTTGAAACTGATTAATGCTGTTATCGCATCAAAGTCATACTCAATGTTTGAATAAGAGTAGCCTACCCCTTTCTTCAATATTCTATTCCATTTACTGAATAAACTCCCAGCAAATGCTGTCAATAATAATACCATTCAACTCTTAGCTGAAATCAGATTCTAGATCGGAGACTCAAAACTATAGGAGCAATTTTTCAGAAATTTAATGTAAAGCAGCGATTATTGGCTCAATACTGAAAATCTTGATGTGATTAATGAATTTTGGCTATTCGTAAAAGCCATTTACTCTCAAAACCCAATTTAGTATAACCGACTTTTCAGTATTTAAAACTTGATTGATCTTATGGTCAAAATAAGCGACATAAAGGATGCTGGACACTGCTGTGAATATCATAAAACTACTTATATGATGTTCTACTAGGGTTAAATACAATCTTTACATCAAAATTATTAAGGCAGATCTAGCTAATTAGGGGGAATAGTAAAAAGAGAACATTCAACTTCAAACATCAAGGAAGATAAAAAACTTGGACAAGGCAATACCTCCATTACTCCAAAGAATTAAAGTAGAGCAATAGAATTCCGTGAAGACAACTAAAAAGTGAACAATACCCATCAAATAGATAAATATTTAGCACCAATTGCTGGAGTACTAGAAGGTGTATTAACCACTGGTGGTAATGAAGTACTAGATTAAATTTAGAATATTGCCAAATCCCTTACAGTGAAATCCTCCCCTTGTTTCCATCTCTAAATGCTTAAGCTTTTAAAAGTTCTCTTACTAGACAGCAGAGAGGGAGATAGTCAACATTGCGCAAGTCCAGGTGATTTCGCTGCTTAATTTTTGAAAGCCAATGGACTACAAATTCTCCTCTATCTCTGCTCTAATTCATCGTTCGATGTGAAAGCAATGTGTGTAAAGCTAATTGATGTCTTAAGTAGCCATACATCCCTAATCAAAATGTCCATTGATCCAGATGTATTAACTTATCTTTGCAATATTGTGCTTCCGAGACAAATGATGGAGATGGCTAATATTAGAGAAAAAAGTTAGATTTTCAAAAACATTATTCTAGGCAATGATAAAATGCTAAGAAGTGTAGATAAATTTGAATCATCCAATCCAAATCAATATGAAATGATGGATGATGAAAATTCTGGCAAAGAAGATGAAAATACAGCATAAGTTATTGATGATTCTTTAGAATAACTAATCATGCCACCTCAGAAAAAGTAGAAGAAATTCGGTTTAGGTCTATTTATTGAAGATGATGATGATGAAAATAGTTCAAATCAAATAATCAAGCAGGCAGATATAAATCTTGAGGTTAAGTATAAGTCCTAACCTTAGAAAAGCTTAAACGTCCTTGCGAAACCTAATGAAGTTTAAAAAGCAAAATAATAGTCAAATGATGACTATAATATGGATGATGATCTCCTACCCGGTACAAGGCCACCTCCACCAGCTCCTAAAGGTAGCAGAGGTAAAATGACAATGGCTTTTGATTTTGACTCACCTGAAAGCCAGCCCTCATAATAAGATAATTCTAAGTAGAAATTCAATTAAACAAGCAAAGCCTATATCTTTGGTAAATAAAAAACCATTGCAGAAGTAAACGAAGATGAAGATGATGAAGAGATGGAAGATATAGAGGCCTTAGAATAGAGTGATGATATGCTATAGAATTTTGGAATACTAGGATTTAAAAGCAAAGATCAAAAGAAGGAGAGCAAAAAGTAATTTATGAATACCTAGAAGTTGCCTTAACTTAAAGCAACCAATAAAACCTAGACTATGACCTCTTCATTTTAAGGTGAAAAGCGAATGAATACAAAGTTACTTGAACTAACCTTAGACGGCTAAGAAAACGAGGATCAATTTGACAATTTTACCTCAAATCAGACGAACAGGAACACATTCACAGGACCAAGTGGAGATTATAAAAATAGAGGAGCTATCTAATTTGCAGAATATGACAATAATGATGATTCATAGATTGTAGGAGGTAGAGCTAGAAAGAAGTCTTCTACAACTTTTGCTAATGAAAATGTTATGAGCAAATCTAACCTAAGATAGCCAAAATCATTTAATTTTGGGTTTCAGGATTCAGATGGTGATAATGAAGATTAGGAAGAGGAAAAAAAATCAGAAGACTCTGTATTAGTGGATAAGGTAGAGGAGGTTGAAGACTTAGATCAGATTGCCAGTCTGTACAATCAGAAAGGAGACGAAGATGATGTCTACTTTGAAAGTGATTTCTTCAAAGAAAAAAGAATTAAAGAGACAGATTTAATTGATCCAGATTCATTTATAATAGGAGGGTAAAAGAAGGGAAGCAGTGTTGTAGTGTAATCTCAAAACACAGCAGGAAGTGTTCATCATCGAGGTAGAAGTAATATACCAGCTCCTCTCTTAAATATCAATGATGATGACGAGGATGTATTGATGATAGTCCCCTAAAGGAAGAATAAAATAGTAGGTGGAACTACTGGAGCAACATCAGACACTGTCATGGAGGAATCTTTGTCTGTAGAAAGAGACAATCAAATCTAGTAGTCTTAAAATCAAAACTAGCAATAACAACCGAAGTCTAAGAAAGCAGTGATATCATTCAAGAAAAACGCAAGATTATTCACCAATTAAAATAATAAACTAAATATTGACACGGATGCAATCAATGATCTGTTTACCTATGGGGGAGAAAATGGCTAAGTCAAGATGAGTGAAGACTAAGAAATTATAAACTTTGAAGCCGAAATTGAAGAACTTGCCAGCATGTGCATAGCTGCTATGAATAGAAAAACCCCCAATGACCCCATTAAATACGAAAATAAGAATTTACAACCTACTTTTGAAAGCAAGTATCTCGGTGGAGGTGAAAGATAGGAGGAATAGGCAAAGACAAAGGATAACAAAAAGGGAACTGGCAATATGCTCTAAAATCCAAGATCATAGTTCATGACGCCATAGAGTGTAAGGGGAATCAAGAAAATTGAATTCTAGATGTCTCATGATGAAAAGCAAGCTGCATTAGAGGGATCAAGAGATAGAATAAATCTGGGGAGTAGTCTAGGAAGTGCAGGGCTATCAACTAGTAAAGCATTTGGAATGAAATAAGGAATGTTTTCTAACAATACTATTCAAGAGGAGCTATCACCGTAGAGCTAATCTAAATCCTCTACATCAATAAATGAAATAAAGTTTAAAAAGAACCAGTCTATTATTTCTCAAGAAGCATAAGCAAAGAATGAAAAGGTTAAATAGTTAAATTCTGCAATTTAAAAGGATAAAGGTGATAAAAAGAGCTAATAAAAGCCAACATAGCATTAGTCATTTAACTAAACGCAACCTAATCTTAATTTCTTAAGTCAGTTATCTTAAAGTATTAAAGAGCATGAGTATAAAAAGAAGAGAAGCAGTGATGAATTAATACTGAGTCATGATGGATTCAGACTTGATTAGAGTTCTAATCAGAATGAAGATGATAATTTATTCAAGGACTTAGTTTCTCAATCAGATTAAAACAAAGGCAATGATGAATATACTCTCGAACTAGAGAACCTTTACACTAGTTGTCTAGAGTGGATAATAAGCAGAGCTCCCTCTTCTCTATATGAGAATATTGTTATTGATGAAGTTGACAAGATTGGATATCAACCAGCTATTTAGCTATTGATGATCTTGGTCACCTATTCAAATAATATTATAAGACAAAGAGCACTAAATGATTTAGAAATGCTTGCTAAATGGGACTCTAATAATGGAACTTAGATTATGGTTCACCCACAATTCCACTCTTGGCTGCTTGAGCTCTTGATGCCCTTCCAAGACTTAACCTCTAAATACCAAAATCTTCAAGGTACTTCTCTTGCTGTTTATGATATTGGCTGTAAACTTCACACACTTTTGCTGAGGAACGCTTGTACAAACTCTGAGGAAGAGGCCTATAAAAAGATTAATTTCCTAGTTAGATGGCCAATGATTGTACAGATGTAAGTTAACTAAGGAATCAAAGATAGAAATGAGCGAGATATTGAAATTGCTAATAAATTAGTAAGAGTGCTCTTGACATAATTAATCTCTGGACTGCGTGAAGATACTTCAAGATTAAAACCTCTAATTGGCAAGAATCTACCAACTTGGCAAAACTTATTATACATCATATCTCTTGTGGAGGAATTGGTATTTGGCTCTCATAATAAGACTATACATAGTGATAACATTGAGCAATTTAGAGATGTTAATGTATCCCTTTTCAAATGGATTCAAAAGGATTACTTGCTGCATTACTATGGTTCAAATGAAAAGAATTTGTGGGCTGAATGGGACTTAATGGAGCAAATATTCTAGGTTATTGATTCTATTTATCCAGAATGGATCTTTAAGAATGAAAAGAACCAGCATCTTAGAATAGAGGATATAATTTTCAATACTTTAGAAAAATGCAGTGCTGATGAGTTCAACTCTTTAGTAGACATATTAATGCATGAGGGTTCTCCTTACAAAAATTAGGTCAATAATTCTTCCTAGTAAGTCTATTAACCACCAAAGTAATAACAAAGTAAAGGCAAAGGACTACTAAGAGGAGTCCTAGGAGGGGGTAAATCTCATCATTAAGATAACTCACAATAGAACTAGGCTGATCAAACACCCTAAAATTAAGTTCTAAATTCGTAGTCTGAAAATTCATTCATGAAATCTTTACTCAATCTCATGTGCATCACTTTGACACAAGCTGATACTAAAGCTCAAGTTCAGTTATGGCTAGATAGACTTGAAAAATTTGTCAAATTTATAATAATCCTTTCAGAATCATGGCGAAGTAGATTAGTATCAACAATTTATAACAACTATTAAAGGAAATTTTCAGAAGCAATTACATTCGCATTTACTTTCATATTCCATGAAATACACCATACTCCTATTCAGACAACTAGATCCAATCAAAATCTCTTAGGCACATTGTCTCAATACTCAATGACTTCTAACAATTCCAGCCCTAAAGATTAAAAATTCAACAAGTAATATGCTTAATGCCTTAAAAATTTGATGATTTACTTTATCAATGTAATTGAGTACTAGAAGATGAAATATACTCCAAGCCAATTAGAATCTCATATTACAGCTTGCAGAAATATTTTTACTAACTACTTGATTAAGAATTATCAAGGTGGTTAGGAGTATCTAATCAATATGAGAGATATATCAAGAATTAAATAGAGTGACTATGATGATTTCCCAGAGTGCTTCTATATGGAGGATTGGAAAGTAACATTCTTCAATAATGAAAGCATTAAAAGAGTGGTGAAGAAACAAATGAATTAACAAGCATTATTGCACTTTATTCAGAAGAGAAGAAACTACTCTGTACACTATATAGAAGCTTAAAATAGTAATGATAAGACGAAAGATGAGATACTCAAGAGAATGTAATTAGAAACTATTGAAGTGATAGGATAGCTAAGCGCAGAGGAATTTGAAAGAAAAAATAAGGTCGCTCTAATGAATGATAATTTTATCAGAGAGTAAGGCCATCATTGGAGTAAAGTTAAGCACTCAGTGTTTGGTAGTAGAGGTATCTGGAGATTTTCACTTGAAAACGACTATTCTTACCTAATGCTAAATATGTATAGAACTGAGGATGGTATCAGGCCTTACTAATATGAAAGGCACAGAAATGGCTTTGAATTTCAGGAATAAGAAGGGGATTTGGAGAGAAAAATTTTCACACTTGTCGACTCTGATCCTAGTATTGACTTTTTTGAAATAGACAAAAACAAGCTTATTCAGAGTAAATAGCACTTATTGGAGAACAAAGTTAGATCAAACAACAAGGTCTAAGTAAATAGTTCTGATGATGAGGAAGAAGATGAAAAGTTAGAAGATGAAGAAGAAATTGGAATTTAATATACTGAGAGCGAGTAAACACCAATAATAACATTTTTCTCAAGAACACTTACAACAAGAGAAAAGATAAGTCTAAAGAAGCAATATATCAATCATCTCAAAGAGCACATTTATACTTTTAGATCAAAGACTAAAGAAATTATTACAGATATGAGATGCTCAATACTCAAGCCATTTTATTAAAGACCCGGTTCTATAACTTTAACTTCTCATGACATTTTATTCTTTGATGATTTATTTACTCCAGCCAATCTACTATAGGAAAAAGATAATATATTCTTCTTCAAATATCAAAAGAAGAATGATGATCTTCTATATAAGATCATTCCACTCCATAACCTTAAGGAGATATAGAGAAGGAGATTTTTAGGAAGAAAAACAGGATTAGAGATTTTCCTGATGAGCAATAAATCTATTCTATTGAATTTTTCTAGCGTAGATGAAAGAGATAAATTTGCTACTAAAATAATCCGATAAAGGAACTCTAAATCATACAATCTAAAGTATTATGACACTCTAGAGCCAAAAAGAATATTGAAGAAAAGAGAGTTAACAGATAAATGGATGTAATGGAAGATATCTAATTTTGAATATATAATGCAACTTAATATCCTATCTGGAAGATCGTACAATGATCTATCGCAATATCCAGTTTTCCCTTGGATTTTAACTGATTTCACAAGTCAAAATACCCCGGATATATCAGCTGCCAGTATGATTACTAATTAACCAGCAGGAGTTGTACCTCCTCCTTAGGGATTCAGAGACTTAAATAAAAATATGCAACTACTAGGTACTGCAGAGAGATAGGCAGAGTTCAAAAGAAAGTATGATGATTAGGATTCTTTTGCTTCATCAAAAGAAAAATTCCACTGCGGTTCTCATTATTCTAATCCCGGAATAGTCCTGCATTACATGTCAAGATTAAGTCCATATATTGATGCTTTGGTCGAACTTCATGGAAAAAATCTTGACACCCCTGATAGAGGATTCCATAGTGTTTAAGAATCTCTAGAAAGTGCTTTAAAAGACCATGCTGATGTAAGAGAATTAATTCCTGAGTTCTACTATTGTCCTGAGATGTTTGAAAATCATAACCAAATTAAATTTGGAATCAAACAAGACGGTAATATTGTAGATTCTGTTAAATTACCTGCTTGGTGCAATAATGATCCTTATCTTTTTGTAATTTTCTTGAGAGAGGCTTTTGAATCGAACTATGTTTCATAGAACTTAAGCTCTTGGATTGATTATATTTTTGGCTTCAAGTAAAGAGATGGTGAAGCGGAAAAGTCACTTAATTTATTCGCTCACATAACCTATGAGGATGGAATAGACATTGATAGTATAACTGATCAATTAATGAAGCAATCTTATTAGGAGTAGATCTATAACTATGGATAAACACCGGCTTAGCTATTTTAAAAGAACAAGCATCCATAGAGAATTCCAAGAAATCAAGCAATCAAGTATAATTGCGTTGTAGACAATTAATCAAAAATAAAAGTATATAAACCGGTAGTTTAGCAGCCTCATAAATCTAACTAAGGAGGATAAAATTAAGCGACTCCAATTCTACTGTCTTAAGAAGCTATCTTAAAGGCGAAGTTTGCTGATGACCAGTAAATTATTGGATTAAGTAAAGATGGAACTGTCACTTATTTCTTCTGGCTATCAAAAGCGCACGAACTTAATCCAAATACTCCCTTTACTTGCTGTGAAGACAAAAAGAGAAAATTTGATAATAGATAAAAGTAAAATGGTTTCGAAGTTTATGACCGATCAATTAAGAAATTTGATTTCCCCCTCTAGATTCTTCACAGTCAAAAATGCATTATGAGAGGAGGATTTTGGGATGGAAAAATAGCGATATGTCCTATAGAAGGAGTAAGTTAAGAACAAGCATCTATACTGCATGCACACTAGTCAACTGTGACAGCTATAACCGCAACTTAAAATGAGAAAATAGTGATTACAGGATCTAAATCAGGAGATGTTATAGTGTGGAACTATATCGGGGGTTCAAATAATCCTTCAAATGAGTCTAATTGGTAACTTAGATAGCATATATGTGATCATGAGGGAATTATATCAACAATTCACATTAACGAGGAGATGAAAATATATCTAACCTGCTCTTTTGATGGCTCTGCTAATATATATAATTTATGGAATGATAAATTTATCAAGAGAATTCTTCATCCGAAATTGGCACCGATACACTCAGGTATACTTTCTTAAACCCCTCTACCAGTTTGCTGCTTTTTCTCAAGAGAAGATCATTAATGGTATTCTTTCACACTAAATGGTCATTTACTTGAAAAGTAAAGAGAGGAATGCAGTCACATCATTTCACCTCAAGTTATAAAAGATTCTCATTTTATGGAGAAATTAGTTTACGGAACAGAAAAAGGATATCTAATATTCAGATAGCTCCCACTCCTGAGATAATTCAAGAAGCAATAGGTATCAACATAATATCCAGTTCTTTCAATCATAGTCAGTCCTGAAAGAAGGTTCTTACTTGTTGGTTGTGGTGATGGTGGACTTAATGTAGTTACAGAACCATTTCAGATTAGCTAAAGTTAACCAAGCATGCAACATAGCAATATAACTTCTCATCATAGTGCAACTCAATCAAATACTCAAACATCATCATAGTACAATCAAACAACTTCATCATAAGGGTAAAATAACTAAACACTCATGAACTAGACATTAGGATCTTCTTATATAAGTATGACTTAATCATCAATAGTAAGTCAGCCTTTGGTCATATAAGGTGGTCAAAACTAGAACTAGCAGTAATTACAGTAATAGCAAGCAAAGAACCAATAAATGTTTGGAAATCTCTAATAATAAATGCCTAACTATCACTCCTAGGGCTCTAATCAACAGGCTTCAAGCTTATAACCTCATCATTAGTATAGAGAATGAAAAGAACCAAATAAGTCATCAGTACTATAAGAATGGCTACAAATTTAACAAAGAAGTTATGATTTAAAAATAATATGATAACTATATTTCTTAATTTCATGAATACCATTAAAGAAATATGTCTAAACTTAATTACCTTGACAAAATTTAATTATAATTTTATCATAAGATTATATATCTTAATTAATGGAAGGTGCAATTAAAGTAGAAGCAGGAGGTATGGACAAGAAATATTTCTATGCCTTCTTCAAGGGACTAGTTAACATTAAGTACAAGGATCAATTTTCAAAGAGTAAAGATATTGAGGTTGACGATACTCTTGATCTTTAATTCCTTTACTCTAATTTATTCAACAGCTAGGAGACTTCTCTTGAATGTAATGAATTCTTATTTGCATCGCTTAACTTTAAATAATCTACTTTATTTTACAGAGTTCAATAAGCTTGTCGAGGGCACATTAAACATAATTGAAACGATCGTGTAGAACAATATGAGCAAAGATGACTTGGAGGAGTTTTTAACAAATGTATGATAAATATAGCTTATGTGATTGTTTAGTAAGTGAAAGCTAGAGATGATCATAAAAGATAAATCGCCCAATATTGGAAAAATGAGTAAAACAAGATAATAAAGGCTTTAAATGAACCATTGAGAAATCAAACTGGAGGCATATCAGAAATAGATTGGGAGATTCATGTTACTACTGCCAGCAGACATCAGGGGAACATCAATTAATAATCAGCAACAGTTGTCATTTAACCCAAAGTAATAAAACTTATTAGTTAATCCTATTTTAGAGAGGAAATGTAAGAGACAAGATAATGTTTGAGATGGGTAAAAAAGATGCTAAGCAAATACTAGATAAGCTATCTTCTCTTGATGCGCTACTTAACTCTGCAGCTTAACTGTAATAGTGAGTATCAGAATTTCTATCTATTATATTATCTCACAATAGTTTCGATATCATTATTCATTTGCACAAATTCTAAATTCATTATCTCTCCTGGGGTTTTGGGGTTTTGGGGTTTTGGGGTTTTGGGG